TGACAGGCAATGCACTACAGCATTCAAATCAATTTCTTTGCCCATGGGACAAGGAAGAGGTAAGCTACCAGAATATTGGGCTTGCTTGAACACACTGTATGGGAAGCCATGTCCCCTACCCACTAGGAGGGATGTGAAGGAGACAATATAAAAAGGCACTCAGCAACAAAAAAACTAATATGACATTGCCAGAGTCTAGAGAGCAGATCAGTACCCATCCCAAGTATACACACGGTCTCTGGACTCCCATAGAACAATGTGAGGTGCACTCTCACCCTGAACTCTTGGGGAAGGGTCTAGGCCCTGCCCTATATGAAATGACAGACTATGGACACCCCCATGGAGGGCCTCACCCTCCCTGGGGGAATGAGGGGATAACGGGGGGGGGATGGGGGAGGGCACGGGAGGAGGGGAGGGAAAGGGAGAGGAAACTCGTACTGACTTGTGAAGCAACCTTGTTTCTTATCTAAATTTAAAATGGAAAATAAAAAAGTATTAATAAAAAAAAACAACTTCATGGAAATTATAGAGACCCACAAATAATATATGAAATAATCCTTTAAAGAGATGGAAGGAAAAAAACAAAAAATGAAAGAAATTAAGGAAAAAACAAACCAAAAATTGCAAGATACAATTCAAATTTGAAGGGTTGAAAGCTGAAATAGAGAAAATTTAAAAAAAAAACACAGTATGAAGGAATAGAAAAACTGGGCAAGCAGTCAAATATTACAGATACAAGCATAACCAACAGAATACAAGAGATAGAAGAGACAATCTCAGGTGTTGAAGATACACTAGGAGAAATAGAATCATAGACTAAAGAAAATCTTAAGTCCAACAAATCCCTTACACTAAATATCCAGGAAATTTGGGACACCATATAAAGATCAAAACTAAGAGTAATAGATATAGAAGAAGTTAAAGAAATCCACCTCAAAGGCACAGAAAACACATTCAACAAAATAATAAAAGAAAACTTTCCCAACTTAAGAAAGACATGCCAATGAAGGTACAAGAAGCTTAGAGAACATCAAATAGAGTGAACCACAAAAAGTCCCCTCCCCACATAATAATCAAGATCACAAAAATACAGTAGAAACAATCTTAAGAGCAAATAAGAAAAAATTTCCAGTAACATATAAAGACAAAGCTATCAGAATTACACCTCTCTTCTCCATGGAAACTCTGAAAGCCAGAAGGTCCTGAATAGACATTCCAAAAACACTGAGAGACCACGGAGGCCAGCCCAGCCTCCGATAACCAGCAAAGCCTTCAGTTACTACAGATGGAGAAAATCAGCCATTCCATAACAAAACTACATTTAAACAATACATATCAACTAACCCAGCCATACAAAAATTTCTGGAAGGGAAGATTCCACCCCAAGGATGTTAAAAGCCACCAGAAAAGCACAGGAGATAGATAATCCCACTTTACCAACAGCCAAAATAAAAAAAGGGGTGGACATTCACATACAATACCAGTAACAACAACCATTCCAAAATAAATGGAGAATGAGAAATCAATCATCATTAATATCACACAATATTCATGGTCTTAATTTGCCCATAAAAAGACATAGGCTAACAGAATGGATTCAAAGGCAGAATCCATCCTGCTGCTTCATACAAAAAACACACCTCAGCTATAAAGATACACTTTGCATCAGAGTTAAGGGTTGGGAAAAGATTTTCCAATCAAATGAATGATACAAGTGGGATTAACAATCCTAACATCTAACAAATTAGACCTTAAAATACACTCAATCAAAAGAAATGAAGGTGATTTCCTACTTATCACAGGAGAAATCCACCAAATGAAGTCACAATTCTGAACATTTATGTCCCAAATAAAGAGGCAACAACATTACTAAAAGAAATATTACTAGAGCTCAAATTACACATAAAACCTCACACACTGGTAGTAGGAGATTTCAACACTTCGCTCTCACCACTAGACAGGACATCCAGACAGAAACGTAACAAAGAAACAAAAGAACTAATAGAACTTATGATGCAATTGTAATTAACAGACGTCTATAGAATATTCCATCCAAATAGAATAGACTATACCTTCTTCTCAGTGCCACATGGAACCTTCTCAAAAATCTACCACATACTTGGCAACACAGCAAACAATAACACGTGCAAAAAACTGGAATAACTCCATGTATCTTATCACAACATCATGCTTTCAAAGTAGAATTCAACAAGAATACAAATTGAAGAAACTCTACACTCATGGAAATTGAATAATGCACCTTTGCACCATTCTTGGGACAAAGAAGAATTAAAAAAGAAATTATAGACTTCCTAGAATTCAATGAGCATGAAGACACTACTAACCCAAACACATAAAAAATATGAAACCATGCTAAGAGGAAAGTTGATAGCACTAAGTGCCTACACGAAGAAACTGGAAGTCACACTAGAAAATTAACAGCATAATTGAAAGCTCTATAACAAAAAGAAGCAAACTCACCTCAGAGATGTACATGCCAGGAAATGATCAAATTGAGGCTTAAAACAATAAAGTTGAAACTAGGAAGACATACAAAGCATCAATGCAACTAAGAGTTGGTTTTTTAGAAAATCGACAAGATAGACATTTATCCAAACTTACCAAACCACAGTGTGAGGACATGTAAATTAAGAAAATCATCAATGAAAGTGGGGTCATAACAATGGAACCTGAGGAAATCCAGAGAATCGTCAAGTCCTACTTTGAAAACCTGAACTCCACAAAATTTGAAAATTTAAAGGAAATTGAAAATTTTCTGGATAGATTTCGCTTGTCAAAATGAATTTTTAAAAAAAGGATAAGCAGTTTATGTAGACCTATAATTCCCAAGCACATAGGAGCATTCATCATAAGTCTACCAAACAAAATTGCACAGATCAGGATGGCCTCAATGTAGAATTATACCAGGAATTCAAATAATTACTTATACGAATTCTTCTCAATGTTTTCCATGCAATAGAAACAGAAGGGTCTTTGCCAAACTCTTTTTATGAGGCTTCAATACCTTGATAACCAAGCCACATGAAAACACAACTAAGAAAGAAATCTTCAGACCAAATCCTGCATGAACATTGATGCAAAAATAATAAACTACTGGTAAATTGGATCCAAGAAGACATCAGAAAACTCACCCACCATGACCAAGTAGGCTTGATTCCAGGGATGCAGGGATGGTTCAACATATGAAAATCCATCAATGTAATCCACCATACAAACAAGTTAAGAAACAAAAAAACACATGATCATCTTACTAGATTTTGACAAAATCCAACACCCTTTCATGATAAAGGTCTTGGAGATATCTGGAATAACAAAAACTTCTATTAACATAATAAATGTATATACAGAAACTCAAGAGCCAACATCAAAGCAAATGGAGAGAAACTCAATGTAATTCCTCTAAAATCAGGAACAATACAAGAATGTATACTCTCTTCATACCTTTTAAATATTGTTCTTGAAGTTCTAGCTAGAGCAATAAGATAACAAAAGGAGATCAAGGAGAAACAAATTGGAAAGGAAGAGGTCAAAGTTTCACTATTTTCAGATATGATAGTTTACATAAGTTACCCAGAAACCTCTACCCGATAACTCCCACCGCTGATGAGTACCTTTAGCAAAATGGCATGATAAACCATCGACTCAGGAAAATCAGTATTCCTACTATTTACAGACAACAAAAGAGATGACAAAGAAATCAGAGAAATATCTTCCTTTATAATAGCCACAAACAATATAAAATACATTAGAATGTAAAATATACAGAATTATAGAAGATAAAAGCCCAGAAGGAAAAGGTAGAGATTTGAATAAAGTTCATAACAGCAGGCTAGAAAAAAACCAAATAATACTGGGCAATCATTAGTAAGAATAAGTTACCTACCATGTGTTATTTACCTGGGATCTGGGTGATGCCCCTACCCGGAAATGAGTCAAAGGCCAAAGGTGTAAAAATCATTTGAAACATTAGAAAATCCAATTTGAATCTCAATGCTTCACATGGAACTACAAGTAAGTATGTAATGGTTAGAGCGAGAACAGGGCAACTACTGCATATTCAGTAACTATGGTCAGTCATAAAATCACAATGCATTTTACATTTTATTGATGACACAAGTTATATATTTAGGAGTATACACGTTTACACATAAGCATGTATGCTTGTGACAACAATTAACAGAAAAGGGGCCATGGCTTGGAAAGTTAGCAGGGGTCACTTACACCTAAGAGAAAGGAGGGATTACAAAAATATATTATAATGTCAAAAACTATAAGAAATATGTCAGTCAAAATGTGTTAAAATTTACACATGTTATTTAATATATTTTTGTATAATATAAAATATTGCACATGTTATGTAACATATATTTTATAAAAAAGATATGGCACAAAATTCAGCTAATTCTACTTGCTTCAGGAATTTCTGCTGTATCTTGCAAATGGGGTACACTGTATATATAATGCATACACACATACATACATTCATACCTCTGCTTGCCTTGGTTCAACATAGCAGGGTCTACATTTCCTATCAATTCTTTTGGGTAAAAACTTTCCAGGTGTGGCATGCATGGATTTATGAAAGTACATACACATACAAGCAACAACTCACCTGCCTTCTTAAGCAAACCCAATAAACTCATTTGTTTCTAAATTTTAAGTCTATTGAAACAGCACTGGTTTGAAATGGTAACCCTATTAAACATAAGTAGTAGAACTATTTATACCTCATCCTGAGAAGTAAATACAGCAAGAAAATAAATACTGTACAAATTACTGCTACTTATGAACTATCTTAGTCACTGTTTTCATTCAATAAATTCTCCTTGTAATTTCAACTGGATGGCAGCAAACTCAGATTTCTGACAATATCTGCTTCTCAAGTCCTGGTATTGCTACACCGATTCTCAGGCTTATTGGAGACATAAGACTCAGCTGTTCATACATATAACATAAGTCTATTGCTGAATGACCATCTACATAGCTATCAATATCTTGGCTTTAGGTAGAAAATAATCACTTTAGTATGTCCCAAGGAAGGCACTGTAAGAAACACTTTGAAACAATCCAGATTTCCTCCATCCCATTTCAGATGCTGTCCTCACAATTCACACTCAAGGAACAACTTAACGTTTCTGGATTCTGAACTGAAATCTAAGGACACAGAAAAGTATCTGTGTTGAACCTGTGTGTGATCCTAACACATAAAATGGAAAATGAGATGCACAGAGGACTCTCCCGTATATTACATCTCACACGTGAATTAATCATCTGTCAAATATCTCAGCGACATTCGCTCTGTATTACAGAATGTTTGAACACATTTTCAGTTCATAAGATGAAAAAAGTCCTCATTTCATTGACTTAGAGAAAGGGGTGAGTCAGCAGCAGAACGCCCCCTAGCCAGTCACTTCCCACACAGATGTCACTTCCTGTTCCCGGAGGTGCCACGGTGTCAGCTGGGAGCAGTCTGGGAATCCGGACAGATGGGTGAGGCCACAATTGGAGACACTGAGCTCAGCTGCTCCCACCTCAGCATGTCGGCCTAGGCTCTGGAGTGGGAGCTGGAGGGGAGAGCAGAGGAGCTGCTGGGATTGCAACTGGTGCAGCTGTGGCTGCTGCTGCTCTAAAAACATCGACAATGCTTCCAGTGATCTTAGGAGCTGCCTCCCCACCTCCAGCCAACCATCTGGCATCCCTGCCAGGGAGATGAGCAGCAGCCTCCCCGATCTCCAGCTACTGGACAAGAGCAGGGACCCACTCATGGAGCTAGGAACGGAGCTCCAGTGGCTGCTGCTGCCCCACAGCCAACCATCTGACATCCCTGCCAGAGAGGTGAGCAGCAGCCTCCCGGATCTCCAGCTACTGGACAAGAGCAGGGAGAAGCTCATGGCTCTGGGACCCCAGCTGCTGACTCCGAGCAGCCTGAGCAGGCTGATGGACAGGAACACCAGGCTTGGCAACAAGGACTCACCCATTTTCCACTCTGTCTCAGGCTCCAGGTACTCAGCCTCACATGCAAGTGCTTTTAGGTGGGGCTAGCTGTGGGAGGGGGAACCCTGCACTCCCTTAACCTGGGCTGGAACAAACTCCACAGTATCTCTGCTGAGAGGAGACCTTTGAGAATTTAGAATGTGTATTCCTTTGAGGAAAGTATTAATGAAATCCTACCAGAATTAGTAAATCTCCCTTCTCTCAGTTATGTGGTGTTGTGTTCCTCCTCAGCTTTCATAGTTGCATTGATTTCCCCACTCTCCTCAATAACTTGTTGACATACCTGTCTCTAGATCTCCTTAACCCTATTCAACTACAAGAGTTGAAATTTCCAGGAAATCCATTGTTAGTTGGTTTTGTTAGCAATTTAGCATAGATACTCCAAATCTTCTGGAATAATAATAATAATAATAATAAGACCATTAATATCCAGAAATGCTTCTGAAGCTCATTCTTATATTATGGGAATCTGACTTGTGTTCAGGCATTAATTGACCAAACACAAATATTGACAGAGTGTATTTTGGATGGTGTATCAGAGCCATTCACTTTGTGGAATTCGGTTGAAAATATCACTTCCCGCTAATGCATTGTTTGTGTTTTCCAGAATGCTCTTCCCCCTGCAGCTCTGCCTTGCACACCTCCATATCCCAGAATTTGTCTGACTCAGAAGATAAAGCCAGTGATCATGCACACAGAATGCAGAATGTTCTTCTTCGTTGACAACTTTGGGTGTACACAAATGAAAGCAAAGCAAAAATGATTATTAAAGAAAAATGGAGCTTGAATTTGATTATAAAGCTCAGTGGTTTCAGTTAAATGTCCATGCACGAGCTGCAAAGATTTGTAAGGTTTTGCATTTCATGTATCTGTTCAGCATGATTTAATCCAATTTCCTGTTTAGATTTTTGAATATAATTTATTCTTAATAGCCATTCAAAATTTAGCTGGTTAGTCACAATTTTCACCTAAGTCTTTGATGAGAAGTTAACAGAATGGTATATTTGTTTGATGAGTCATACTCAGCCTGGAGAATGTCATCTGAGACAGTTGAGGTGACTAAAGTAAGACTTCATGACACTTATACTACCAGAGTTGTTCTGTTTGCCTGAAATATTTGCCATAAATAGAATGAGCCTTTGCCTTGAGTCACCCCTGGGCTTCAGCCTATGACTAAGAGTATATAAATGATTATCACTTTTAAATGGTATATTTAACCTTCAGCTCTTATTTTGTTTTATTTTAGTAACTTTATACAATCTATCAGTGACTGGTTACAGTCCCTTACTTGTAGCAGGGACATAGAGGCTTATTCTAGAGATGGATTTAGAACAAACTGCAACCTTACACAATGCAAAACATTTGGGAATATACTTTAGCAGACTAGACAATAAACTGTATTTATAATCCCTGAATCCCACAGGCCTGAAACTCTTCATGTAGAATTTGCTGACCATGAACTCTGAGGAAGACCTGCCTCTGCCTCCTGGTGATGGCCTTACATATGTACATGATGACCTACTTACATTTCATTTTAACTTCATTTTGTTAGCTGCAATGATCTCTTGTAATCATGCCCTTGGGATTTATGGGAGGCTGGAGTCATGATACATCAACTTCCCAGCACAGAGAATAACTGTAATTGCCTGAAAAATCTAATGTCAAGTAATCTAAGAAAGGCTGGTTGATAACATACAACTAAATGAAGGAAAGTTGGACATGATTGTGCATACATACAAACAAGTACTTGGGAGGTAGAGCAGACGATCAGGAATTCAAAGTTAACATAGGAATCATAGTATCGTTGAAGCCAGCTGAGAATATACCTGGAACCTTCTCTCAAAGTGGGGGTCAGTTGGGGTGGGATGTATTGTAACTTTCAAATGTGTCTCCTTTGCTTGTGTTGTATACTAAATGAAAAGTTTCTCTGCATTTAATAGACTAACTACAACTAGATATCATTACAGTTGAAGGTAGTCAAAAGTAAAGCTTATTATATCCATTCACAATACAATAGTTCACAAAGTTGGTATAACTACTGAACATTAAGAAAGTAATATTGATAAAATAGGAATGAAAATAACAAAAATACAGTATCCTTAAAGAGTAGGAGAAAAATAGTAGCACAAACTATTGGCACTGAAGATTAACAAAATATACTATTGGATTATGCAATAAAACTAATACTAGTAATTTAATTGGGCATTAGGAAAAATATTTAACTCTCACTTCTGAGAATTAAAAAACAGAACTGTAATAACATAAAGACAGGTTTGTAAGAACTAAATGAAGATTTAGTTTGCATTAGGCAGTCAGGTGAGCATATGAAACATTCTTTGTTAGAATCGAGTTTTATGCTGAAAATATTTGCATGTTTGTTTTCATATATATATGTATATAATTTTGTTTTAGTTGTTGATTTTAGGAGTTTATATTAGTAGTCTATGTGGTAATTCAGGTTTGTGTGTGTTTTTGTTGTGTCATGAAACAGGAGTTTCATGACTGCAGTTGTGAAACGCTGCTATAGTGAGTCCCCTTACCTTTTCCTCATAATAGTGTGGTAAGATAATTTTTATTTTTCTTTTTTTAGAGATATTTTTCTGTGTTTACAAAAGTAATGTTACTTCTGCTAATGTATTTCATTATACTGGTTATAAAGTTGCTTTTTTCACAGTGAGCAACATTAAGCTGCCTATTCCAAAATTAGGAAAGGAACAGATGACTTGGTAGGTTCCCATGTGTCAAACAGTAAATATTTCATAATTAGATGACTTTAGTTAAGCAACATAGAATGTTTTCATGGAAAACATTCAGAATGATGGGGCCATACACTCCTGGATTAAATACTGTAGTTTCTTGATTGATTAATATCCTGACCTAAGTAAGAACGTGAGTAGTCTTTTAGGAATTTACTTTTAAATAGAGCATCTAACAATGCATACACTTTCCAGCTGCATAGAAAGAGGTGTACTAATTCCAGCCTGTGACATATAATTGTATTCTTTGGTGGTCTTTCACAAAGTGTTCATTGTGTTTTTTTAATATGTATAATTAAACTCTGTGAAGAGTGTGACAAATCAGTTCTTTCCGCAGAGATGTAGATTACAAGGACAGATGCAGTACATTGTTCCTCTGGAATAAGCTGTAGTCCAAGCCTATAGCATAGATTTTCTTTGGTACAATCTTCATTGGTAGTTGGTTTATCCATTTTTTTGTTTTTGTTTTTTTTTTTTGGTATGGTTTTATCTTTTTAACCCATCGGTGGCCCTATTTTTGACAAATGCTGCCAGTGATTGCTATTTTTTTGTCTTTTACATACTTTATCTTTTTAAAAAACTGACTATAGACATTAATTTAGAGAGAAAGGAATTAGATCCCAAGTTAAAAAAATGTAGTTTAAGTTGTAGTGTGTCTCGCTAGTTACAAATCCCATATTAATCCAACAATGAAATCTTAGAGATTCAGAATCAGCAAGGGGGCAATTTTCATAATATGGCTATTTTATTTTCTGAGACAGGGCAGTACAAACCTTGAACTCGTCATGTAGAAAACTCTGTCCTTTTGTAATACTCGTGTCTGTTCTTCTCAATCATGGGATTACATGTGTAAACCATTAGCCTGGCTAAATATTTTACTTAGAAATGTATCAAAGCTGTCTCTTCCTAAAAATTTTGATTTCTAAATAATCCTTTCCAAAATAAAAAAGTATACTGTAGATTGACTTCAAATAAGAGAAATTTGTGTAATATAAAAACAATAAATGTAGTTCTGATTAGGACAAGAACTTATTGCAGAGTAGTTCCAACACAGAGTGGAAATACAGGGTTAAAAATGAAGACTCATGAAGATACTGTTTGCTGGAATGTTAATTAAAATAAATCATTTAAGGCAGCAAAATATAATAGAAGTCATTTGCCAGGGAATCCAATGATCTAAGAAACTCTGTAGAGTAAAAGGGAGTTACCTTAAATTGATTCACCAAATTTCCTACTACTAATATCTGAAATACTTATCAATAAGTTTATGACTGCTGTTTTTATTGAGTCTTCCTGGCAATTCTGTTGCTCACTGCCAAGCAGAACAAATTAGCTGTATGCTTTCTTTCAGTCTTGCTCTTCCCATAGTTCCTATTGGAAAGAGTTCTTTTTTGCCTGTTTTATAATACAGCAGGGAAGACTTAGTTAATGTTTACCTTTTGGTTGCTTTTCAAGAAATTACACATTAAATTTTAGTAGTAGCTATTTACATAAAAACATATTGATTAATCTTTAAGTTTCCATGTGAGTGCTTGCAGATACAGTATTACCAATAAAAGTATATGTATAGGTCATCAGGTGATCATTTAAAGGGTGCTTTGTTAGAATCCAGTTGTATGCTGAGAATATTTGCATGTTAGGTTTGCATATGTATTTAATTCTTATTTTAGTTTATTATTATATGAGATTATATTAGTAGACTATATGGTAATTAAGTTTTGGTGTGTGTTTGTGTTATTTCATGAAACAGGAGTTTCATGACTGCAGTTGTGAAACGCTGCTATAGTGAGTCCCCTTACCTTTTCCTCATAATGGTGTAGTAAGATCATTTTTAGTTTTTTAGACATTTTTTCTGTGTTTCTAAAAATGATGCTTCAACTGCTAATGTAAGTTTATGATAGTAGTTATAAAGTTGTTGTTTATTTCACACTGAGCAACATCAAGCTGCCTATTCCAAAATTAGGAAAGGCTCAGAAGACTAAACGGGTTCCCACGTATCAAACTGTAAATATTTTGTAATTAGATGACTTTAGTTAAGCAACATAGAATGTTTTCATGGAAAACATTCAGAATGATGGGGCCATACACTCCTGGATTAAATCCTGTATTTTTTATTGATAATCATCCTTACCTAAGTAATAATGTGAGTAGTATTTTAGGAATTACCCTTTCCAGCCTCCTAGAAAGAGGTATACTTTTTCTTCTTTCATAAATCTAGATATTCTTGCCTATGATATATAAATGTTTTGTATAGTCCTCTTGTAACTAAGTTTTTATTGTGCATTTTGATGCTTACAGTTTAAACTATGTAAATAGTGTGCCAAATCACATTTTTTGCCAGAAATAGTGATTATAGAGACAGATTCAGGTTATTGTACATGTTAAAAAAGATACATTCTTTGCCTAACATTGATAGCTTTTATTGAAATCCTCATTGGTAGCTTTTCTACATTTTGGTTGTTTTTTTGTTTGGTTGGTTGGTTGTTGATTTTTCTATCCAGTTTGGCATTAACATTGGCCAGAGGTGCAAATAATTGCTAAGTTTTTTTCTTCATTTTCAAAATTATCATTAAAAAAAACTGACTATATACATTACTTAATGAGACAGGAATTGGTAATCTCAATATATGATCGACTTCTTAAGACATCATGTTACATCACAGACAAAGATGGGCATCAAAGAAAGTCATTGTGGAGTGTGCCTTTGACATGACAGCACCACCAATTTGGACAAGAATCTTCACTTCATGGAATTCTTGACAGCAAGTTGTCAAAACAGGACAAGCATGTTACAAAGAAATGTTACTGCTGAACATGCAGAGGAACAGTATGATTACCCATTAACCTGCTTTATTGAAACATCAGCCAAACATTCTGGGGCTATAAGCTGAAGAGGGATTCCACAATGTTAAAGAGGATCCTTGAATGACATTCTAGACATCGAGATCTCACTGTCAATTCTAGAGTATATATATTACATTTCTGTAAACTTTTGTGGTGTTGAAGACAGATAGTTACAGTTATGGATTTTCATAGTTATGGTAATAAATAATTTGCATACAAAGCTTTAAACTGACATAAATAGGAAGTTGATATAGTGTTTTCTTTAAATTTGCCAAATGTTAATGGACTAAATATATTAACTGTAGTTTTTTGCTTACTACATCTTCTAACGCATAATTGTATGATTTTAAATGTAAACTTCGTTTGTTTTTCCAGACTCAAATAGATGATGTGTTATGTCCTTCTGTTTAATGTGACTATGTTTCTCTTCTTTGTTGATGAATTAAACTGTGTTTGCCAAATGCCAGACAGGATATAGCAAGGGAGAATGTATAGGCAATATGAAATTCTGAGAGAGGAATATGTAGAGCAGATCTTCAGACAGATGCTATGTAGCTTCTGCGAAGATAGGTTGCTGGTTCATTTTCTGGTCAGCCCAGACAATCTGCAGATTCACTGACTAATTCAAATCGGTTAGTAATTAGATGGAGCTAGCCTGTGCTAAGGACAAATAGTTTATATTTTACATTGCCCTCTGTGTGTTTATTTGAGAGTGCAGTGTGGCAGAATCAAGATGAACACTAAATTCGGCCTACACATTACTGTTAGTGGAAAAATTACTGAGTTGCCTTGTTTTGTGAATATGGATGGTAGAAAATTCATCTTCTCACAGATCACATGTTCAGCACTGTGTTCCTGAGAAACAGTGCTGACCTCAATCAGCACTTTCTACATGTCATATGCATATTTGCATGGAGTTTTTTGAATCCTCTGCCCAATTGTTGTCTGCTAGCAACAACACAATGGGAAAACAAGGGGGGGAATTTTCCACATAACCAGTCCTAGCTTTTCATAAATTTGCGGGTTAATTAACAACAAATGTGGCAGAAGAAATGTTACTTTTATTTTGGAGAAATTATTATGTATGCTCTGACTTCTTTAATTTTTCTGGACCTAAAGTCATATTGTTACATGTGGCTGTGAAAGTGTATACATATTTAAAATGTAACTCTGAAATATAAATAAGTTCTGGAATTTTCTGTTTGGAAAAGATATAGTTCTATTGTTTCAAGTTATGCTGTAATGGCAAATATTCTGAGAACTATGTTTAAACTATTCAAATTCTTGTGCCTCATTACCAAAAAGATATGAAAAATTATGATGTAATATTAACTGAGTATACCCTCAAGAATTTTGCCTTAAATGTTGTACATTGTCTTAATAGACACAAAAAAATCTTAGAGAAATTAATATAAAAAGAAATAAATAATTTGGACATACATTATAACAATAAGTAGTTTTGTTGATCCCAATAACACAATCACATAAGGAAGTGTGAGTGTCTGGATGTCTCTGTGTGTTTGGTTGTGTGAGTACAAATAAATAAAGAACATCACTGAATCCAGGTATCAAGAGTATGAACCTGAACTGGAACATTAAAAAATAATTAGGAATCAAACAAAATGGGAACTAGACACGTTACAACTCTTTTTGAACTTAAAACATGTTTCCTTGTTCCCAAAAACACGACTATGTTGCTGCTTTGAAAATATTTTTGGCATACATGGTTATGTTAATGAAGCCAGATATCATACAAATATTATGAAAAGTTACCGAATATTAAAATGTGGAACAATTAACTTAGTGCTTGATTTCCCCTCAGATCTTTTGAGTAAAGCCTTTTCAGGTGTGGTATGCTTGGATGGAGGAACACCCATACACATATACGTTAAACCTCACCTCCATTCTTAAGGAAGGCCAATAAACTCATTTTTCCTAAATTTCAAATTTATTGCAATCATGCTAGCTTGTTATGTGAACCCTATTAGATATAAGTAGTAGATGTCTTTACACCTCATCCTGGAAAGCAATTACAGCAAGAATATGAAACCTGTATCAGTTCAAATTGCTGCTACATCTGGACATATCTAACTCACTGTTTTCAGTAAAAGAATTTCACCTTATAATTTCAGCTGGATGGTCAGCAAACACAGATATCTGACAATTTCTGCTTCTCAAATCCTGAGATTGCTAGACTGATTCTCAGGCTTATTAGAGACATAAAACTCTGCTGTTCATACATGTAATACAAGTCTATTGCTGAATGATCATCTACACAGCTATTAATATTTTGTCTAAAGGTAAAAAAAAATTCTTTAGTAAAACCCAAGGAAATTGTTGCTACAAACATTTTGAAACCTTCTTGTTTTCCTTCATCCCCTCTCTGATGCTGTCCTCAGAATTCACACTCAAGGATCAACATAACGTTTCTGGAAGATGCACTGAAATCTGAGGACACGGAAACGTGTCTGTGCTGAACCTGTCTGTGATCCTAACACATGCAGCGGAAAATGAAACACAGAGGACTCTCCCACATATTACATCTCACACCTGAATTAATCATCTGTCAAATATCTCAGCGACATTCACTCTGTATTACAGAATGTTTGAACACATTTTCAGTTCATCAGATGATACAGCTAGATTTTATTTCAGAAAGGGGTGAGTCAGGAGCAGAATGCCCCCTAGCCCAGTCCCTTCCCACACAGAGGTCACTTCCTGTTCTAGGAGCTGCCACGGTGTCAGCTGGAAGCAGGCTGGGAATTCAGACAATTGGGTGAGGCCACATTTGAAAACACTGAACTCAGCTGCACCATACTGAGCATGCTGGCCTAGATTCTGGGGTGGCAACTGGAGAGGAGAGCAGAGGAGCCTCTTGGAACGCGAGTGGCGCTGCTGTGGTTGCTGCTGCTCTAAAACCATCTGACAATGCTTCCAGGGCTCTAAGGAGCTGCCTCCCCCACCTCCAGCTCCTGGACATGAGCAGGGAACCGATCATTGGGATGGAACCCGAGCTCCTGTGGCTGCTGCTGCCCTGCAGCCAACCATCTGACATCCCTGCCAGGGAGGTGAGCAGCAGCCTCCCCCACCTCCAGCTCCTGGACAAGAGCAGGGAGCAGCTCATGGCCCTGGGACCCCAGCTGCAGACTCACAGCAGCCTGAGCATGCTGATGGACAGGAACAACAGGCTTGACAACACAGCCTTGCTGCTGGAGGGACTCGACCAGTCTCCACTCTTCTGGAATTACCAGCAAAGACCAATATGATACAGAAGTCTGACTCTCACTCTTATATTCTGGGAATCTGCTAAGTTACTTGGGTTCAGCCATCAATTGCCCAAACCCAAAGTATGACAGAGTGCTGTGATACTTTTGGCTGCTGTGTCAGTGTAATTAAGTCTGTGGAATACTGTGGGAAGTATCACCTCCACTGATGCATTGTTTGTGTTTTCCAGAATACTCTTCCCCCCTGTAGCTCTGCCTTGCCCAGCTCCACATCCCAGAGTTTGTCTGACTCAGAAGATGAATCCAGTTATTCTTCACACAGAATGCAGAATGTTCTTCTTAGTTGACGATGTTAAGTGTAAAAAAACAAAATTTAAGGAAAGATGATCATAAAAGATATTGGAGCTTGAATTTGATGATAAAGCTCCGAGTTTTCAGCATGAATGTACATGCAGGATTTGCAAAGATTTGAAAGTTTTTGAATTGCATGTGTCTATTCAGAATGATTGAATCCAGTTTCCTGTTTAGATTGTTTGAGAATAATTTTTTCTAAATAGCAGTTCAAAATTTGCCTTGTTAATCACAATTTTCACTTAGGTCTTTGTTGAGAAGCTAACATAATGGTATATTTAGAGGAACAATCATAATCAGCCTGGAGTGATGTCATCTGACACACTTGGGTTGACTAAAGTAAGACATCATGACACTTGTACTACCAGAGTTGTTCTGATTTGCCTGAAAAGTATAACATAAGTATAATGAGCCTTCACATTGGGGAAGCCCTGGGCTTCAGCCTCTTTCTAACAGTTTATAAATGATTATCACTTTTAAATTGAATATTTAACTTTCAGCTCTTTTTTGTGTTATTTTCTTAACTTTATGCAATTTTTCTGTGATTTGTCACAGTCCCTTACGACTAGCAGGTATATGGAGGCTTATTCTAGAGATGATTTTAGAACAAACTACAACCTGTAACAATGCAAAACCCTTGGGAATAGACTTCAGCAGACTGGGTAATCAAATATATATATATATATATATGTATGTACATATATATATACATATACATATATATATATATATATATATATATATATATATATATATATATATATACACTCCCCGAATCCTACAGACCTAGAACTCTTTATGTAGAATGTGCTGACTAGGAACTATGAAGAACAACTTCGTCTACCTCCTGGTGCTGGCTTACAGATGTTTGGGACCACCTACTTACATTTCATTTTTTACTTAGTTTTGTTAACTGCAGTGATCTCTTGTAATCATTTCCTTTGCATTAATGCAAGGCTAGAGTCATGATACATCAACTTACCCGCAGACAGAATAACTGTACATTCCAGAAAAATCTAATGGCAAGTAATATAAGAAAGGCTGGATCATAACATTGAACTAATTGAGGGAAAGTTGGAAATGATGTGCACACATACAAACAAGCACATGGGGGGGGGGAGAAGCAGAAGATCTGGAGTTCAAAGTTAGCATAGGAATCATAGTATAGTGGAAGCCAGCCAGGAACATGTACATGAAACCTTGTCTTAAAGTGGGGGTGAGTTGGGATGGTATGAATTGTAACCTTCACATGTATCTTATTTGCTTGTATTGTATACTAAATGCAAAGTTTATCTGCATTTAATAGAAAAACTACAGCTAAAAATCATTACAGTTAATTGTAGTCAGATGTAGTAAAGGAAAACTCATTGTATCCATTTAAATTGTGCTTTGTTAGAATCCAGTATTATGCTGAGAATATTTTCATATATATATGTATATATATATATATATTATATTATTTTAGTTGGTAATTTTAAGAGATTATATTAATAGCCTATTTGGTAATTCAGGTATTGTGTATGTATGTGTTATGTCATGAAACAGGAGTTTCATGACTGCAGTTGTGAAACACTGCTATAGTGAGTCCCCTTACCTTTTCCTCATCATAGTGTAGTAAAATCAGTTTACTTTGCTTTTTTTAGAGATTTTTTTTATGTTTCTAAAAGTGATGTTTCTTCTGCTGATGTGATTTTATGATAGTAGTTATAAAGTCTTTTATTGTTGGACAGTGAGCAACATTAAGCTGCCTATTCCAAAATTAGGAAAGGCACAGTTGAATTGACAGGTTCCCACATATCAAATTGTATATAATGTGTAATTAGATAACTTTAGTTAACAACATAGAATGTTTTTGTGGAAAGCATTCAAAATGGTGGGGCCGTACACTCCTGGATTAAATCCAGTAATTTCTTGATTGATAAATATCCTGACATAAGGAATAAGGGGAGTAGTCTTTTAGGAATTACTTGTGAATAGAGCATCTAACCATACATACACTAGCATCTAACTATCCATACACTTTTCTGCCTCATAGAAAGAAGTGTACTGTTTCTTCTTTCATAAATGTATATATTCCAGGCTGTGACATATAAATGTATCCTGTGGTGGTCTTTCAGAAAGTACTTATTCTGTTTTTTATGTGTTTTATAATTAAACTCTGTAAATAGCATGACAAATCAGTAGTTTTGCAGAGATGTGGACTATAAGGACAGAAGCAGTATCTTGTACCTCCGGAGCAAGCTATAGTCTATGCCTAGAGCACAGATTGTCTTTAATGCATTATTCTTTGGTAGTTGTTTTATGTCTTTTTTTGTTTGGTTTTATCTTTTTAACCCATCTGTGGCCTTATCTTTAACCAAAGCTGCCAGTGATTGCTATTTTTTTCTTTTCCATGCTTTACCTATTTTTAAAAACTGACTATAGACATTATCTTGGAGAGATAGGAATTAGACATCTGAAGTAAAAAGAATGTATTTTAAGTTTCAGTGTGTATTGCTAGTTACAAATCCCATTTTTATCCAACAAAGAAATATTAGAGGTTCAGAATCAGCAAGGGGGTAGATTTCATAATATGGCTATTTTATTTTCTGAGACAGAGCCATGCTAGCCTTGAACTGGGAATGTAGACAAGTCTGTCCTGTATCTAATGCTCTTGCCTGGGCTTCCCACCCTTTGGAATAGCATGTGTAAACCATTAGCCTGGCTAAATATTCTACTTAGAAATGTACCAGAGGTGTCTGTTGCTAAAAATATTGATTACTAAATTACCCTTTCCAAAATAGAAAATGCATATTGTAAATTGATTTCAAATATGAGAAATTTTGGTATTATAAATATCAAAAAAGAATAAAGTAAGTCCTCATTAAGA